CGCCCTCCTGCTGCCCTGGGTCGCCGCCGATAACGGTAAGCGGGGCTCCCCCGGGGATCCCCGACCCGCCGCCGGCATGCCCCACGCCTTTCCCGGGGTACCCACGCTACTCCTCGGGGTACCCACGCCGTCCCGGGGGTGCTCGTACAGTTTCCCGGAGTGACCTCGCTACTCCTCGGGGTGTCCGGGCTCCCCCCCGCGGTGCTCACGGCTCCCCTCGGGGTGCCCACGCTGCTCCCTGCGTGCCCACACCTCTCTCTGGGTGCCCCACGCACCCCTTTCCCCCCTGGGCACCCACGCTGCACCCCCGCGTTCCCCTTGCATCCCCCCGGGTGCCCACCTCCCTTCCTGGGGTCCCCACACCACCTCCCCACCAGTGTCCAGGGAGGTTTGAGGGTGATTTTTAGGGTCCGTGAGATGGACCCACGGGAGCTGCATCACCGTGGGATTTCACCCCGGGTGGGGTCTCTGGGTTTTCTACGGGACTGGGACTTGTCCACGGCTGAGCATCGCTGCCAGACTGGGAATGTCACGTCGCGTCTCGCCTCTCCAAAAGCAAATTCAGGAAAAATCACTGTCACAGCTCAGCGCAGACAGCCATGCTGACAGCCCCAGACAGCCACTGGCGGTGGTGGCAAGACCATCAGGAAATATTTAATTAACTGAAAACGTTGGAATTTTGAAGGATTTGTGTGGAAGCGCAGGACATGAGGCTGGAAGGGACTGCAAAGTTTGGGGACAGCTTTGGTGCTGTCCCTTCCTCTGGCTCCTTGTGCTGGCTGAATTGGAGTTGATTTGCCCTCGTAATGCTGTGCTGTGCATTGGTGGCATCAGAGCTGTCTCTCCAACATCCACCCCTTCACCAGGAGGTTGAGGTGGGCAAGATCTTGGGAGGGGACACAGCCAGGAGACCTGACCCAACCTGACCAAAGGGACATTCCGTACCATGTCTCAGTAATAAAAGCTAAGAGAAACGAGGAGGAAGAGGGGACATTTTTCTTATGACATTCGTCTTCCAGAGCAACTTCTACGCGTACTCAAGCCCAACTTCAAGGGAAGTGGCTGGACATCACCTGCCGATGGAAAGTAGAGAGTAAATCTTTTGGTTTCCTTTGCTCCTGCACACGGCCTTTGCTTTTGCTTTATTAAACTCCCTTTATCTTGACCCATGAGGGTTGGGGGTTTTTTTTCCATCTTATTTTCTCCCCACCCAGGCCCCGTCCTGCTGAGGGGAGTGATAGAGCAGCCTGGTGGGCACCTGGCACCCAGCCAAGGTCAACCCACCACATTCCTGTCTGCCCCCAAAGCTGCGACATCCTAGAAAATGAATTTATTCCCATTTCTAAACAGCTGACGGGTGCAACAAGGGCTGTAAAATGACTCCAGCAGCAAATAAGGCAGAAGAGCTACGTGTGCTGCCAGGCACATTGAGGAACAGGCTAAAAATAGCTTTCCCTGAAGGCAGCACCCTCCGACAGCCCCCTCCTGGACCTGCAGGTGATGTTCCTGCTACCGATGATGCAATCAGGGTGGCCATTTGAGGAAGAAAACGTGGTTCTCTCAGATGTCAGAGAACAGGAGTGATATTCACTGCTTTTAATTCAGTCGACGGTGCCGCAGCACCTCTGCACCAGCTGCAGCGATGCATTTCACGATGCTCGCACCGGGCATCCCGTCCACTCCTGCTTTCCACCCCCATAACAGCTGATCGATTGTAAATGTTTTTCAGTTAAAAACGTGGAAAAAGTTTTATTTATTTCTCTGATTTTGGCGTTTCTTGTGAATTCTCCAGTCTTAGGCACAGACTTCTGAAATGTCTCTCTTCTCCACTTTTTTCGGCTTATGGTTTTTAAACCGTCAGCAGAAAATGAGCGCCACTCTGAACCTTTGGCTGATAATTTTCTAAGAAAAATAGTCAAGTTTCCCAGTGTGGATTCTCTGGTGTTTGTTTGTGGTTGTGCGTCCCCCTGCAGCGCCATGAAGCCGGAGGGGGACATCTCTGTGACATGGGATAACAGCACACCACGGCAGCATCTCCATCCCTGGGACTCATCCTGGCCGCGTGCCCGGCGCCCGAGTGGTTTGGTTCCCGACGTGCCGGGATGAGCTCACCTTCAGCGGCATCATTTGAGATCACTGGTGGACAAAGCCAAAAAGCAAAGTGAAAACATGAATTAACCATGCAAATACAAAAATAACATGGATATTGTGCACGTGTTTCAACCTGGAAATTTAAAATCAATGGGATGCAGGGAATTTGGATGGAAATAAGGAAGCCGGAGATATTTTCTCAGGAAGGCTAGTACCCGGCACCACGGCTCATTTGGGAGGTTGGCTAACGATGCGACAAGTCTTTGATCACTTGGGCTGACAACAATGGGAAAATTCAATCTGGAAAGCTCCAAGGGAGCAGAGACAAGCGGAGAGATGCTTTTGGCCATCCTGGGAGATGTCTTGAGAGCTTTCTCTTGAATTAAACAGGAAAATAGAAGACAGATGTTAGTTTTTCCTGCATGCAAGTCCCCGGTGCTGCCCAGATCCAGGGGATCCATCAATCTGCTTCAATAAAAAAGCAAATAAGAGAGCAAGAGGTTTGTAGTTACCACAGATATCCTTGCTTGGAAGCAAGATCTTTATCCTGGTCACGGCTCTCCCTATCCATCCGCATTTTCCACCATGCCAAATTCACTGCCGCAGTATAAAAAAAAGCCCGAATCTTGACCACACATCTCCAGGGCTGGAGTAGCACTGAAAACCCGAGTCCCCAAAGATTTCCTCCCTTTTTCCCCCTTAGCACATGCTTTGTTTCATCAAACGAACTGAAATCCGTGCAGCGATGGTGCGAGACATCAGAGTCGCGATCCTGGAGAGCAGAGACACTGAGATCTTGCCATCAGAGGACTTGGGCATTTTTTTGGAAGAGGAGAATATTTTATAGTCAAATCGACCAGAAAAAAAATGCTTCAGTGGGATTAAGATGACAAGATCAGGTTTAAAAACTGAAAGGCATACGCGGGAGTCGCAGGTCCTTCTTTTTCCCAGGTATTTTTGATGCTTCCAGCTTGATTTCCAACTGTGCTCCTTTTGCAGACGTGGCTGCGGCTTCTGTTGGCACTGGAAGGGCTTTTCCTTCATTTTATGGCATGACTTCAGGTCTGGCAATGTGTGAGGGCGTTGTGAAACAGCCCGTGTTGCTTCCTCGAAACGTTCCCAGAAATTTCGCCACCACTTTGAGCGGAGGCTGAGAACCGATGTGCTGAGCACACGTGTAGCTGCCACATCACTCGTGCTGTCTGGGCACGGTGGCTGCAGCTCTTCGGGGTGTCCCAACGCTGGGGGACATGGCTTAGACCCAGTTGAGCACCAAAACAGAGCAGACCCGCCCTGGGATGTTCTGGGGGTACATAACAAATTGGGGCAGGAGATTTTTAAGATTTAAGGAGATTTTTATGTCCGGGTGTCTTGGGTGCCTGAGGGACCATGTCATGTTCCTGTCCCCACTGCCACTGTGCTCCCAACCCCATTGTGCTCCCATCCCCATTGTGCTCCTGTACCTTATCGTGTGCCCGTTCCCATTGTGCTCCTTTACCCCATAGTGCTCCTATCCCCACTGCCATCACACTCCTATCTCCAGCAGGCTCCGTTCCCCTATCACCGGCGCATTCCCATCCCTGTTGTGCTCCTGTCCCCACTGTGCTTCCGTCACCATCCCGCTCCCGATCCCAGCCCAACTGTGCATCCCGCCATACCAAATGTGCATCATTCTGGCTGGGCACAGCTCCATCCCAGTGGGGTGTTGCTTTAACCCAACTGGGCGTTGCTCTGTCCATGCTGGGCACTGATTCATCCATGCTGTGCATCACATCCTGGCCGTGCGTCACTCCACCCCAGCTGTGCAGTGCTCCATCCCGGCCATGCATCGCTCCATGCCGGCCATGGATCGCTCCATCCCGGCCATGGATCACTCCATCCCAGCCATGCATTGCTCCATCCCGGCCATACATCACATCCTGGCCATGCATTGCTCCAACCCGCCCATGCATTTCTCCATCCTCACCGTGCATCACATCCGAGCCATGCATTGCTCCATCCCAGCCGTGCATGACATCCTGGCCATGCAATTGTTCCACCATGCATTGCTCCATCCTGTCTGTACACCACATCCTGGCCATGCATTGCTCCATTCCAGCTGGGGACCACTCCAGCCTGGCTGTATATTGCTTTATCCCTTCCATGCATCTCTCCATCTCAGTGTTGGAACACCACCTCTCGTGTGGGGGGATGGAACTGACAGCAGGAGTTGCGGGTGAGCCATTCCCATGCTGCGGCAGGAGTCCAGGCGCAGGCACAGTCTTGGGGTAACCAAGAAACTTTCTCCATTGCACCAGAGAAATGAAGTGAAATTGTCAACACCCTCTTGCGAAATCGACCTCAAATCAGGGCCAAAAGGGAAGTATGAGCCCTTCTGGGGATAAGAAAAGCCATAGTTCAGGGCTTGTCACCACCCCATTTCCCAGCCATGCGATGCTCAGATTTCAGCTGCCTCCGGGGCTGTGTCTGCAGCCTCCACACAGCCCCTGGCAGGGAAAAACCCCTGGGAAGTGGCTGGAAGACGCATGCAGTACTTGGAATTTTTCACGTGCAGCTGCAAAACGAGCAGAGGAAAATGGGGGCGGTGAGCACAGCTGAAAGGCAGCAGCTGGTGGCAGGATGCAGCTGGGGCTGCTGGCCCAGGATGGTCACTGCAGAGGGATAAAATTCTGCAAAAAAGGCTTTGGTGACCGGCGGAGCCATTACAAATGACCACAAACATGCCAGAAATGAAGCTTTCCCCTTCTCCATCTCCTGTGCACAGGCACAACCATCTCACCGCCATCTTTTTACAGGCTGGATGAGGCTCTCCCAGCCCCGGGCAGCACTGATACCCCATTCCCACCCCTTGGCACAACTGGACCCCTTTGAGTACCGTTCAGCACAGCGAACCGGGATCAGAGGGTGCAAATCTCCCTGTTGTGATCGCTATCTCGTGTTTTTTTTTTTTCCCTGTCCTCCCAGTGCCAGCACGATGTAGCCGCCCCAAGGATGTGGCCAACGCACACATTGACGTGGGCAACAACACGCTGCTCAACGCCCGCCTGCGCTACACCTGCAACCCGGGCTACAAGCGCAAAGCCGGTACCTCCAGCCTCATCCAGTGTATCCTCCACGACGGTGCCAGCAAGCCCGACTGGACCCACACCACGCTGCAGTGTATCCGTAAGCCCTTTCTCAGCAGCCAGGATGTGATGGGGACCAGGGATGGGGGACACCTTCATCACCGGCATGGCAGAGGTGGATGCAGGGTGTGGGCACTGCTGTTGACGGCATTTCCTTGTTGTGTCTTCCCAAAGGGGACCCGGCTCTGCCTCCACTAACTCCCAGCCCTGAGCTCCCGACCGCACCACAGACCGAGAGGACGACCCAGAGGGGTGAGGAAGGGGCAAACGCAGACTAAGGGGGTTTGTTTGGGGCCACCGTGACTGTGGTCACAGCAAAACCACAATCACCGTGGCGTGGAAAGCAAAATATTTCAATTGTATGATCCAATTAATTCAATTGCCTGAAATTATGCCATTTCGTAGCTGCTGGATGGGAGTCACCTGTGCCACCAGCACCTGATGGTCCATCACCATGGACATCCATGCCTCCAGAGATGATCCCACCACTGGAGACATCCACACCGGGAGAGGGGTCGGCCCCAGGGACATCTCTGGGGACAACCCCGCTGCCCACCACCACCATGGACCATGCCGCAGGTCAGGCCGCCTCTCAGGGGGAGAGAACCCACCAATGGGGCTGGTTTCAACCAGCGAAGGCTCTTTTACTTTTTCAATGCATTTTGCTCTTGTCTCCAACCCCTTTTTTAGTGCGGGTGCCCCTGGCATCTCCCTCATTCCTGGTTTTGCAGCTAAAAATCTCCATTTCTCTCTTCTTTTCCAGTTTCCATCCAGACCCTGGCATCTTCCATTGGTAAGCTGCGCAAAAAGCTTATTTTGGCAAGCACAGGCTTATTTTCTCTATTTTTTAGCCTAAAAGCCCTCCTTGGGCCTGTAGGAAGTTTATGCCATGGCCAAGGGCAATACCTCCAAGGGATGAAGGATGGAGCACCCAAATTTCTTCCCAGGGCGGGGAGGGAACCTTGTGAATGGGCACAAAGTGTTTTTGGCTTTTTGCGATGCTGTTTTACTTGAGCTGGGGCTGTGCATTGGAAGATGCTCATCAGTTGCCGCATCTCTCCTGCAGCGCTCCCAGTGCTGGTGGTCGCTGGCGTCGTGGCCTGCTGCTGCTGGAGGATGAGAACGTAAGTGTGCCGAGCCCCGTGAGGTCCTTCCACCCCAGTGATGAGTTATCCTTGGCCTCTGTGCTTTCCTGAAATCTGGGGACAAACCCTTCAGGTGCCAGTGACACTCCTCTCCCCTCCACAGGCGTGCAGTGCAAGATTACGCGGTGACGGCCATTCCCATGGTGGCTCCTGCTGCTGAGAACGAGGAGATGTTACTGCCCAACGTCTTCCCCACGGGCTGAGCACCCACCGCCGGGCAACTTGGTGCACCCGCCAGCCCAGAGGATGCTCTGGACTGGGATGGAAAGCCAGACGCTTCCCTGAGCGGTGGCAGCACGTGGCAGAGCACATCCTGGTCCCCAGTGTGCCTCCGTGTGGAGCATCCTCACTACAGGGACACGCAGCCGCTCTCCCCAGTCTGAACAAGTGACTATCATGGATGAGACCACTTCCAGCACCCAAAGGTGCGTGGGTGTCCCATCGTGCAGCTGAATGGGGGATGGCTGAGCCCACAAGCTCTGGGGGTGGTGGTAGAGGCAGTGGGTGTTCTGCGTCAGGAACCAGAACTCAGAGGAGATAGTCCTGCGGGCGCTTGCGGGTGGTAGGGAACAGGCTGGGGGCTACTTGCCCCAGCAGAGGGGGGTTGGGGTGCAGGAAAGGGGG